CCCAACAATGCAGATGACCTGAAGGCCGCTATCAAAGCAACCTGGGCTTCCATTACACCTGAGTAGTGCCACAGGCTGATTGCCTCCATGCCACGCCGCATTGATGCAGTAATTCATGCAAAAGGAGGCCCAACCAAGTATTAAGTGCATAGAAATTAACATACTTTTCAGAAGCCTGACATTTCTGTTTAAAATATCCTTTTTTTATTGATCTTATGTAATATTCTAATTTTCTGAGACACTGAATTTTGGGTTCTCATTATCTGTAAGCCATAATCATCAAAATTTCAAGAAATAAAGGCTTGAAATATTTCACTCTATGTGTAATGAATCTATATAATATATGGGTTTCACTTTCTGAAATGAGTGACAAAAAATATTGACCTTTTTCATGATATTCTAATTTTTTGAGATGTACCTATAGTCAGATTAAACATCCAGAATTAGGGGGGTCGTTCAGAGACTTCACCTAAAAATGTATTCTATTATTCTCCCTCATGTGCATGTGCCTCAAGATCTGCATAATTTTCTTCCATGGAGCACAAAAAGGGATGTTAAGCAGAATGTCATGGACTGACAGCCTCATTTGTCATATTAAGTTGCTGTTTTATCCATGCCAAAAAAAGTCTCTCGTTGCGCCTAACATATCTTTTTGTATCATTAAAGAACGTCAAACAGGTTTACAACATCATGAAACATTTACTTTTGAGGTGAGCTATACTTTAAGCAGAAGACGGTAAGAAACAATGTAAGTGCTGCCCTCTGGAGGAAGTGACTCGGTAGTCTTTGTAATTTGTTTTAAATAAACTATAGGCCCTGAAAGTTATTGAGCACCCAACGTGCCTGTTGAACACTTTTGTATTTACTGTACTTAAGTCTTATTTTTCCATAATGTTTAAATTGTCTTTGAAAAATACCTCGTTTATAAATGCTGCTCTCCATGGTCCTGATTTCTGGCAATAAAAGAAATTTACACGTGACGTGAAACACTTCAAATACTAAGACAGCATGGCGCACGCGCATTGAACTGTTAGATACATATTAGAACATTTAGATTTAGATCATGTCAAAATATGCCATCGAATTTATTTTTAGATCTGAATATATTCATCAATCTCTTAGACGGCTCTTAAATGCACAACACGACCAGCTATAATATTTGTTGAATAAGAAGAATGAACTGGTATGAAAAAATGAAACTCAGACGGGAAGCAGAAATATTGTAATAAAGGATATAATAATAGATATAATTTGGGGGCATTTAAAAAAAAAAGATACAGTGGGTTTTGAAACAGTAAATTAGCCTATGGAAAAATGCCGTCCGCGTCAAGTGCCCGCCCCTCATGAATAACTATCAATATGTCATCTGTGATTGGTTACTCGAGAAGAACTGGATCCCGGGAGAGTAGAGGTGCTTGACCCGAGCACAGGTGTTGTAAATTAGGCCAAAATTTCCTTCGAAAGGTTTAAGTAGACTTTTTGAGAAGTAAGTAGGGTGTTGTTTTCGATAATTTTGGTCGATAGTCCTACCATGGCGTTTTCTCTGGTGAGTTTTGGTGCCAGTTCGGATTTGAATCTTGCCTTCTTAAAGCGCCTTTGGATTTGTGTGAGCGTGTTAAATGTTTCGTTTGTGATTGTTTGGTCCGCGTTTACTGTCTTTTTTACTTTTTTTTTTCAGAAATGCTAGCTAACCTGTATCTGTCATGATTAAAGATTGTTACAGTGAGATAGAGGTCCATTTAATATAGTTGCCATTGATTGGGCTTGGCCAATGTAATCATTGGCTGCTTTGTAGTTCAGTTTAACAGCGTGCATGGCAAATTAACTACTAAGCATATTGTTCTCCATCACTCTAGTAGTGAACGTGGTGTACTAGAATGAATTTCTCAACTTCAAACTTATAACATCCTGTTTTGCTAACTGAACATAAAATGGTCAGGCAAGGTAAGAGTCAGGCCTATGTTTCACCATTTCTGTGATGTATATCTGTTTTGTTCTGACAGAGTGAAAACCCCAGGCTTCTTAACTGCCTGGATTCTGACATTCCAGCCCTGTCTACATGCAGTAATGCAGACGCGTTCTCCAGGATGAACACCATGCTGGGAAACTCATTGGATCTAAGCGGGGTTTGCACGACTCCCTCTACCAAATGCAAGCGAGACCCTTTTTATGGTAAACCATATTTTGTGTACAGAGAGATGCAATTTTTAATTGAGAGGTAGAAGACGATGAACAAGCGCGAGTCAACGGTTCATTAATATATGTGCAGGCATAACAAATGCAGAGCTGTACCCTTTTTGTCACACTTTTTCCGCTTCCTACGTTCATGTGTATCTGCTGCATTGCTTTTTGCCCCTTCAGCTTTGGCCCTGCATTCGAGCATCATGTGCACAGGGAGTCATTACAGCACTGGTCATGCAATGTCATGCAGGCGAGACGGAGGATGCTGGAGCAAGCAGTTGGATGCAGTCCAGCTCTGCATGAGCAGCCCAGATTGCTCTCTTCAGCTACTTGGCCAATAGCAACAGTCCTGCGATTCACTGGAGTTTTCTGTCTCTTAGCCTGCAGCTAGCGGCAAACTCTCTCTCCCTGCCACCTCGAGTGTCTGAGCCAGAGGTGGGAGGGGGTGCTGCCTCTTTGCAGGAGAATTTGTCAGGAGTGCTCAGTGGTGTGGCATCAGAGGAGGCCAGGGACTGATGTCATTTGCAAGGGGCTGTGAGGGCAGCAGCACCTGGGTCGTCTCTGCAGAGACCGCTGCTCCTGTGCAGTTTAGCCAGGCCGAGGGAGGCGAGCCGTGATTTATCAGAGCCTAGGGAGCCAATGCTTTCTCTAATGTGCATGCCTCTTATTCCCACTGCTGATGCAGAGTCGCCAAACAGTGAGTGTTTTATTTTTGGACACCGTTAACAGATCGTCCCGACTCGGACCTGTCTGCGGTCCGGAGCAGGATGCTTTTTCCCAGTGGTGGCCAGGACTCATCCAGGGGTCTGCCTGATGTCAATAACTGGGGTCTGGGCCTACAGTCCCTCAGCCTGTCTGACTGGGAGAGACCGTGGAGCAGCCATGACACCGATCCCTCTGCACAGACCAACACAGCCTCGCGTGAGTGGAATGAATAACATTTAAACAACCATATGATAATGTTGATACAATGTTAAATGAATGTTGAAGTGACACTATTTATGCAATACTGATTCAGTGAGCCTTAGTTGTTTTTAAGTGGGCTTTAAAACTGACTTTTTATCCATTCTAGTTATAAAACGGAGTTGTCTTTGTGGAGTCTCTTTCTGGGTCTTTATTGATAGCCTTCTCCTGACTAGAGTGTGTTTAAACCGTTCTCACTGGGCCTGTAACAGTGAGTCAGAGCCTTTTGTTGACATTAATCACATTCTCGGCCTGCCTCATGTTCTGGTAGTTCTCATTAGTAGTGCTGCAATAAGAGAGCTGTTCTTTTCAGCTGTTCTTGTTTGAGTCTTGGAATTTTTTATATTTAATTTTTTTTGATGGTTTGGCAAGCAATACAAAAATCTATACTTTGGTTTTCCTTTATTACTTTGGGGTGATATTTTTAGTGTTACTGTGTACTTTTTGTAAATTTTTTTTATATTCTTATATTCTCCCCCCCCCCAGTGCAAGGAATTTTGGGGACTCCCAGCCATCTCTCCAACAAGCCTCCGAGATACTCGGAGCCTTCCATTGGTGCCACAGACTTCCTAGAAAAATTTCCCAGCATGGCACGCTTGAACTCTCAATCTTTCCTGGACTCTCACTCCATTAGCCCTGTGGACTCGGAGACCAGTGGCTTCAGCTCTGGTTCTGATCACCTCTCAGACCTGTTGGTAAGGGTTCTGAGATCATTATCTGTGTACTGTAGCTTAGTTTCTTCAAAGGCTTTTTTTATTTATAAACCATTGTATTTGGCTTGTTTGTTGGGGAATTGAAGCATTATGTAGTTACTTTTCTAGCAATTCCCTCTTTAAACTACTTAGATGGGTGATATATGCTCCATGACCACGATAAGGGTAATTTTCAGCCATTGAAAGGGTAAATTACACTATATAGTACTATTGTTTGTATGTAAACCCTATATTTCTCATTTAAATGTGCATTAGGATTCACTATATTCTGAATAAGCCATAACTGCTATTTTCATATTTTTTTTTAACTGAAGATTAAAGTTAATATATTGTTCCCTCTTATTTTAAATTAAGATGCAAGATTTTTTTTTAAAGACAAATTAATTCATTCCAATGTTTTTAATCTTAATCTCAAAGTTGGGATAACCTCCTATTTCTTAAATCCCCAATGTAAGCTATTTATTGGGTCCTTTCAAATTAAGCATTACAAAGTTGATGTATGTGTGTAGTGTTTTGGGGGCAGCACAAATTAATTTTCTGAAGATTTTTGTAAATCTGGGCCCAGATTTGACAACCAGTTATTCACCTTGGACGGGTGTCAAACTCAATTCCTGGAGGGCCAGAGCCCTCATACCAGAACATTCATACCGTGTAGTTTTCAAATAAGCCTGAAGGACTTGATTAGTTGGATCAGGGGTGTATACCAGAAAGCAAGGTTGACTTGCCATCACACATACCCTGTTGATTAACCCAAACCTTGCTTGCTTGAGGTATGCTGGTTCCAAAAACGCGTCCGGGAATAAGTTGTCAACGGAGTCTGTTCATGGTTAAAACAAGACCTTCTCAACAGAGCGACGAATTGACAAGTCACCGTGGAAACGACGCTAGAAAAAGCATGCCATGCTGCTTTAGTTCAATGGTCGTTTACAGACCTGGAGCATATTGCCACCTAATTGATGGTTGTGCAATCCTTTTTTTTTTATTTTTTTTTTTTTATATCCTTTAAATGAGAATAAGAATTGTGGTGTTTGATGCCATCACATCTATTTTTATTGTAGAAAATACAGATCCATGATGTGTGAAATGACAAAATATAATGTATTAGACGTGTTTTTTTTTGTTTTTTTTTTACTATTATAACTGAAATATAATAGAATAATATTTCTTTATATTGTTAACTATAAAGCACGATTTTATAAAAATTTATAACCATATTGTAATCGTGTATTGTGCGCAATCTGCCACTCCCATTGGAGTCTCGTCAATAGCTCATGCATGTGCTGAAGTAAACATTCTCAGAACATAACCTGATAGGTTATGTTTCAGGGTTAAAGTTTCTATTGCTACTTGCATATCCTGAGAGTTACCTCAGTTTTTGGAACCGGAAGCGGAGTTATCCGCCTACCCTTAAAAATACAGAACCTGGGTATGTCACTTAACTTCCTTTCTGGAATACCCCCCCCAGGTGTTTAATTAGGGTTGAATGTAAACTCTGCAGAGTTTGACACCCCTGACTTGGTACAACTTTGTATTGTCAAGAGGAAGATGAGAGACACCAGACCCAACAATGCAGATGACCTGAAGGCCGCTATCAAAGCAACCTGGGCTTCCATTACACCTGAGTAGTGCCACAGGCTGATTGCCTCCATGCCACGCCGCATTGATGCAGTAATTCATGCAAAAGGAGGCCCAACCAAGTATTAAGTGCATAGAAATGAACATACTTTTCAGAAGCCTGACATTTCTGTTTAAAATATCCTTTTTTTATTGATCTTATGTAATATTCTAATTTTCTGAGACACTGAATTTTGGGTTCTCATTATCTGTAAGCCATAATCATCAAAATTTCAAGAAATAAAGGCTTGAAATATTTCACTCTATGTGTAATGAATCTATATAATATATGGGTTTCACTTTCTGAAATGAGTGACAAAAAATATTGACCTTTTTCATGATATTCTAATTTTTTGAGATGTACCTATAGTCAGATTAAACATCCAGAATTAGGGGGGTCGTTCAGAGACTTCACCTAAAAATGTATTCTATTATTCTCCCTCATGTGCATGTGCCTCAAGATCTGCATAATTTTCTTCCATGGAGCACAAAAAGGGATGTTAAGCAGAATGTCATGGACTGACAGCCTCATTTGTCATATTAAGTTGCTGTTTTATCCATGCCAAAAAAAGTCTCTCGTTGCGCCTAACATATCTTTTTGTATCATTAAAGAACGTCAAACAGGTTTACAACATCATGAAACATTTACTTTTGAGGTGAGCTATACTTTAAGCAGAAGACGGTAAGAAACAATGTAAGTGCTGCCCTCTGGAGGAAGTGACTCGGTAGTCTTTGTAATTTGTTTTAAATAAACTATAGGCCCTGAAAGTTATTGAGCACCCAACGTGCCTGTTGAACACTTTTGTATTTACTGTACTTAAGTCTTATTTTTCCATAATGTTTAAATTGTCTTTGAAAAATACCTCGTTTATAAATGCTGCTCTCCATGGTCCTGATTTCTGGCAATAAAAGAAATTTACACGTGACGTGAAACACTTCAAATACTAAGACAGCATGGCGCACGCGCATTGAACTGTTAGATACATATTAGAACATTTAGATTTAGATCATGTCAAAATATGCCATCGAATTTATTTTTAGATCTGAATATATTCATCAATCTCTTAGACGGCTCTTAAATGCACAACACGACCAGCTATAATATTTGTTGAATAAGAAGAATGAACTGGTATGAAAAAATGAAACTCAGACGGGAAGCAGAAATATTGTAATAAAGGATATAATAATAGATATAATTTGGGGGCATTTAAAAAAAAAAGATACAGTGGGTTTTGAAACAGTAAATTAGCCTATGGAAAAATGCCGTCCGCGTCAAGTGCCCGCCCCTCATGAATAACTATCAATATGTCATCTGTGATTGGTTACTCGAGAAGAACTGGATCCCGGGAGAGTAGAGGTGCTTGACCCGAGCACAGGTGTTGTAAATTAGGCCAAAATTTCCTTCGAAAGGTTTAAGTAGACTTTTTGAGAAGTAAGTAGGGTGTTGTTTTCGATAATTTTGGTCGATAGTCCTACCATGGCGTTTTCTCTGGTGAGTTTTGGTGCCAGTTCGGATTTGAATCTTGCCTTCTTAAAGCGCCTTTGGATTTGTGTGAGCGTGTTAAATGTTTCGTTTGTGATTGTTTGGTCCGCGTTTACTGTCTTTTTTACTTTTTTTTTTCAGAAATGCTAGCTAACCTGTATCTGTCATGATTAAAGATTGTTACAGTGAGATAGAGGTCCATTTAATATAGTTGCCATTGATTGGGCTTGGCCAATGTAATCATTGGCTGCTTTGTAGTTCAGTTTAACAGCGTGCATGGCAAATTAACTACTAAGCATATTGTTCTCCATCACTCTAGTAGTGAACGTGGTGTACTAGAATGAATTTCTCAACTTCAAACTTATAACATCCTGTTTTGCTAACTGAACATAAAATGGTCAGGCAAGGTAAGAGTCAGGCCTATGTTTCACCATTTCTGTGATGTATATCTGTTTTGTTCTGACAGAGTGAAAACCCCAGGCTTCTTAACTGCCTGGATTCTGACATTCCAGCCCTGTCTACATGCAGTAATGCAGACGCGTTCTCCAGGATGAACACCATGCTGGGAAACTCATTGGATCTAAGCGGGGTTTGCACGACTCCCTCTACCAAATGCAAGCGAGACCCTTTTTATGGTAAACCATATTTTGTGTACAGAGAGATGCAATTTTTAATTGAGAGGTAGAAGACGATGAACAAGCGCGAGTCAACGGTTCATTAATATATGTGCAGGCATAACAAATGCAGAGCTGTACCCTTTTTGTCACACTTTTTCCGCTTCCTACGTTCATGTGTATCTGCTGCATTGCTTTTTGCCCCTTCAGCTTTGGCCCTGCATTCGAGCATCATGTGCACAGGGAGTCATTACAGCACTGGTCATGCAATGTCATGCAGGCGAGACGGAGGATGCTGGAGCAAGCAGTTGGATGCAGTCCAGCTCTGCATGAGCAGCCCAGATTGCTCTCTTCAGCTACTTGGCCAATAGCAACAGTCCTGCGATTCACTGGAGTTTTCTGTCTCTTAGCCTGCAGCTAGCGGCAAACTCTCTCTCCCTGCCACCTCGAGTGTCTGAGCCAGAGGTGGGAGGGGGTGCTGCCTCTTTGCAGGAGAATTTGTCAGGAGTGCTCAGTGGTGTGGCATCAGAGGAGGCCAGGGACTGATGTCATTTGCAAGGGGCTGTGAGGGCAGCAGCACCTGGGTCGTCTCTGCAGAGACCGCTGCTCCTGTGCAGTTTAGCCAGGCCGAGGGAGGCGAGCCGTGATTTATCAGAGCCTAGGGAGCCAATGCTTTCTCTAATGTGCATGCCTCTTATTCCCACTGCTGATGCAGAGTCGCCAAACAGTGAGTGTTTTATTTTTGGACACCGTTAACAGATCGTCCCGACTCGGACCTGTCTGCGGTCCGGAGCAGGATGCTTTTTCCCAGTGGTGGCCAGGACTCATCCAGGGGTCTGCCTGATGTCAATAACTGGGGTCTGGGCCTACAGTCCCTCAGCCTGTCTGACTGGGAGAGACCGTGGAGCAGCCATGACACCGATCCCTCTGCACAGACCAACACGGCCTCGCGTGAGTGGAATGAATAACATTTAAACAACCATATGATAATGTTGATACAATGTTAAATGAATGTTGAAGTGACACTATTTATGCAATACTGATTCAGTGAGCCTTAGTTGTTTTTAAGTGGGCTTTAAAACTGACTTTTTATCCATTCTAGTTATAAAACGGAGTTGTCTTTGTGGAGTCTCTTTCTGGGTCTTTATTGATAGCCTTCTCCTGACTAGAGTGTGTTTAAACCGTTCTCACTGGGCCTGTAACAGTGAGTCAGAGCCTTTTGTTGACATTAATCACATTCTCGGCCTGCCTCATGTTCTGGTAGTTCTCATTAGTAGTGCTGCAATAAGAGAGCTGTCCTTTTTTCTTTTGTTTTTGGCTCTTGAATTATGCTCCTATTTGTTCTGGGGGGTTGGCTAAGAGAAAATATCTGTTATTTTTGGTTTTCATTTCTTTCAAGCCGTATTAATATTACAGATTTTTTTTTAACCATATTTGTTCAGTGCAAGGGATTTTGGGGACTCCCAGCCGGCTCTCCAACAAGCTTCCAAGCTACTCTGAACCTTCCATTGGTGCTATAGACTTCCTAGAAAAATTTCCCGGCATGGCACGCTTGAACTCTCAATCTTTCCTGGAATCTCACTCCATTAGCCCTGTGGACTCGGAGACCAGCGGCTTCAGCTCTGGTTCTGATCACCTCTCAGACCTGTTGGTAAGGGTTCTGAGATCATTATCTGTGAACTGTAGCTTAGTTTCTTCAAAGGCTTTTTTTTTTATTTATAAACCATTGTATTTGGCTTGTTTGTTGGGGAATTGAAGCATTATGTAGTTACTTTTCTAGCAATTCCCTCTTTAAACTACTTAGATGGGTGATATATGCTCCATGACCACGATAAGGGTAATTTTCAGCCATTGAAAGGGTAAATTACACTATATAGTACTATTGTTTGTATGTAAACCCTATATTTCTCATTTAAATGTGCATTAGGATTCACTATATTCTGAATAGTCATAAACTGCTATTTTCATATTTTTTTTTAACTGAAGATTAAAGTTAATATATTAGCTCTGGTTCTGATCACCTCTCAGACCTGTTGGTAAGGGTTCTGAGATCATTATCTGTGTACTGTAGCTTAGTTTCTTCAAAGGCTTTTTTTATTTATAAACCATTGTATTTGGCTTGTTTGTTGGGGAATTGAAGCATTATGTAGTTACTTTTCTAGCAATTCCCTCTTTAAACTACTTAGATGGGTGATATATGCTCCATGACCACGATAAGGGTAATTTTCAGCCATTGAAAGGGTAAATTACACTATATAGTACTATTGTTTGTATGTAAACCCTATATTTCTCATTTAAATGTGCATTAGGATTCACTATATTCTGAATAGTCATAACTGCTATTTTCATATTTTTTTTTTTAACTGAAGATTAAAGTTAATATATTGTTCCCTCTTATTTTAAATTAAGATGCAAGATTTTTTTTTAAAGACAAATTAATTCATTCCAATGTTTTTAATCTTAATCTCAAAGTTGGGATAACCTCCTATTTCTTAAATCCCCAATGTAAGCTATTTATTGGGTCCTTTCAAATTAAGCATTACAAAGTTGATGTATGTGTGTGTGTAGTGTTTTGGGGGCAGCACAAATTAATTTTCTGAAGATTTTTGTAAATCTGGGCCCAGATTTGACAACCAGTTATTCACCTTGGACGGGTGTCAAACTCAATTCCTGGAGGGCCAGAGCCCTCATACCAGAACATTCATACCGTGTAGTTTTCAAATAAGCCTGAAGGACTTGATTAGTTGGATCAGGGGTGTATACCAGAAAGCAAGGTTGACTTGCCATCACACATACCCTGTTGATTAACCCAAACCTTGCTTGCTTGAGGTATGCTGGTTCCAAAAACGCGTCCGGGAATAAGTTGTCAACGGAGTCTGTTCATGGTTAAAACAAGACCTTCTCAACAGAGCGACGAATTGACAAGTCACCGTGGAAACGACGCTAGAAAAAGCATGCCATGCTGCTTTAGTTCAATGGTCGTTTACAGACCTGGAGCATATTGCCACCTAATTGATGGTTGTGCAATCCTTTTTTTTTTATTTTTTTTTTTTTATATCCTTTAAATGAGAATAAGAATTGTGGTGTTTGATGCCATCACATCTATTTTTATTGTAGAAAATACAGATCCATGATGTGTGAAATGACAAAATATAATGTATTAGACGTGTTTTTTTTTGTTTTTTTTTTACTATTATAACTGAAATATAATAGAATAATATTTCTTTATATTGTTAACTATAAAGCACGATTTTATAAAAAATTATAACCATATATTGTAATCGTGTATTGTGCGCAATCTGCCACTCCCATTGGAGTCTCGTCAATAGCTCATGCATGTGCTGAAGTAAACATTCTCAGAACATAACCTGATAGGTTATGTTTCAGGGTTAAAGTTTCTATTGCTACTTGCATATCCTGAGAGTTACCTCAGTTTTTGGAACCGGAAGCGGAGTTATCCGCCTACCCTTAAAAATACAGAACCTGGGTATGTTTTTTATTTTGTTTTTTTTTCTGCTGAACACAATACATTTGGTTTTTGAGCAACATACAGAATATTAGGAACAGTAGAATTGGTTTGTCTTTTGGTTTCCTAAAAAGAAACAAACTGACATTTTTATTTAACCTTAATCCGTAGTTTAATTAGTTGTATAATTTCATATACGTAATTTGAATTGATAACCCAATTTGCCACAAAAACCGAATGTTCTGACTAGCTTTGTGAAATTATACGACATGCCATGCATTGGTCATAGAGCTCTTTGTGGCGTTGCCTCAGATGCTGAACTAGATTTGTTGCGCCAAGTTCACACGTACTCCGTCTGCAGTGCGGCCTACCCTTTAGCAAAACACAAAAATGGTCCTATAATTAACTGCATTTTCTGAACATCTTCAGCACTAAAACACCATTATGATGACCTCAAAACACCTTTGACACATGCAGTGCATGATTTGACGTTTACTACATATGGCTTTTCTGACGTATAGCAAACTTGCTCAGTAGCTCACCTGGTACACCATTGCACTTTGCAATGAAAAGCTCTTGTAGAAATAAGTTAATGGCACGGCGGCTTCAGAAAGTGCTTTTTTCTCATGTTTGAATTTGCTCCCACTGTCGGTTAGGTTTAGAGTAGGGTTTAGTGTAGGTAGTACTTTATTTTCAAGCACGAAAGAGCATTAACATTTTAGTACCACTCCTCAGACAAACACTGCCAGATTCAAGTTCATCGATAAAGCTGATCTGATCAAACTGAACATGTTTTTTCCAATGAGACTGGGTTAAAAAGACACTAAAATCATTGTAATTTTTTTTTTTTACAATTGGTTGTGTTTTCCTAATACTGAGTATAGTTAAAAAAAATGTGAAATATTTTTACTATTTAAAATAACTGCTTTCTATTTTAATACATTTTAAAATTATTGCTGTGGTCAAAGCTGAATTTTCAGCATCATTACTCCAGTCTTCAGTGTCACATGATCTTCAGAAATCATTCTAATATGCAGATTTGCTGCTCAAGAAACCTTTTTTAATTATTATTATTATTATCATTAATGTTTTTTGAGCAGCAAATCAGAATATCAGAATGATTTCTGAAGGATAGTGTGACTGGAGTAATGATGCAAAACAATTTAGCTTTGAAATCACTATAAATTACATTTTAAAATATATTCAAATAGAAAATTTTAAACAGCCTAGTAAAAATATTTCAAAATTTTACTGTTTTGCTGTACTTTGGATCAAATAAATGCAGGCTTTGTGAACAGAAGAGTCTTCTTTAAAAAACATTAAAAATCTTACTGTTCAAAAACTTTTGACTGGTAGTGTATAGTCAACTTTAATTTTCTTTAAAATTTCATTTCTAGCTTTTAATTGGCTTAGAAATCAGATAACTGCTGGACAATAACCAATAATAAGTGAAAAAAAGTGACGTGACATGTGGCCAAGTATGGTGACCCATACTCAGAATTAGTGCTCTGCATTTACCCATCCAAAGTGCACACACACACACAGCAGTGAACACACACAAACTGTGAACACACACCCGGAGCAGTGGGCAGCCATTTATGCTGTGGCGCCCGGGGCATCCAGGGGAGCAGTTGGGGGTTCGGTGCCTTGCTCAAGGGCACCTCAGTCGTGGTATTGAAGGTGGGAGAGAGCGCTGTACATTCACTCCCCCCACCTACAATTCCTGCCAGTACAAGACTCAAACCCACAACCTTTGGGTTATGAGTCCAACTCTCTAACCAGTAGGCCACGACTTCCCCTAATAATGATTTGTTTATATACTACAAACACTTTTTTATCACATAATAAGGCAGACTAGTTTAAATACTGTAATAAATGCTATGTCAGTTAGCACTGCATTGTTCATATACTTTATTTATTACCTGGAGATGACTTGACAAACACAAATAAACCATATTGTCGCAATCATATGTTTAATGTCTTCATGTTTCCAAACATTTCTGTTTTTCTGAAAACAATTAACTGTTTTCATACAGATAGCTGGATGCTTTTGTCCATATTAGGAATTTCCTCGTACGACTTTCTGCGCGAGAGCGCCCTCCGGCTTCGAGTATGAATGAAACATACACTGCACGGAATGTGATGTTAATCTGGCCTTATTCTGGGTCCGAATAAAACATCAGGTCATGCACAGACTATCCTGTCTCTTTGAATTTAAATCTATATTTATTCACACCAGCTTTCGAAAACCTCTATGCGAACACACTTGCCTGAAAAAGTGCGGGGGATGAATTTATGTGATATTAAAAGTGGGGGGGACACGTCCCCGCATAATCTACGCCCCCGGTTTGTGGGTTTGACTGAAATTCAACTGCCCTGGTGAAACACCAAGCAGCAGCAACTGGAGAGGTCTTGAGACTGTAACGATGTGTATACATTTGAGTCCTTGAGCATGACACTGAACCCTAAACTTGTCTCTGGATTTTGATAAAACTAGCCAATAAATGGAAAATTAACAAATAGCTGCAGGGCTCTTTATCATAAAATAAAGTCATTCAAAGCTCCATAGTAATTATATTCACAGAAAACAGTATGTCTTCATTCTATCTCAAGGGGTCTTTTCCATTTTTTTTGCATTTATTTATTTGGCATTTAGCCTCTATTTGATTGAACAGTGAGAGCAGATAGGAAGCAATGAGAACAAGATAAGGAAATGACCTCAAGCCAAGCTACAGCTTCAACATTAAGTCTTATAGTTAGATGTTTTTGTTGTTGTTTTCTGTGCTTAATTTAATTTAACATTTTTCTTTGAGTGTCAAACTATAACAGTCTGTCGCAAAAGCCTCTTTGCAAAATCTGCATTATTGTAACAGGTGCACAAACCACTGAAATGTGCCGCTCGAACTGTTAAGGTCAGACGGAAATAAACCAGCCACCATTTTCTACTGTTAGGATCCTTCAGAAGGATATATAGAGCAGAAGGTGCTACACACAGCCAGAACAGGCATGATCAACTTTACCACATTTTACTTACATTCCCTTGGTGTTTAGCAATAATAATATCTATCAGTGGCCATGTTACTGATTTTGAAATGAGATGTGCCGCTTCCATTTAGTAAACATCGTTTTTTTATGAAAGGAAGGTTCGAGTTACAATATAAGTTCATGGTACAGTAAACTCTTTC